TTTTCCGATCTCTTGCTTTACTATTTCCCAATTGTTTTCTAATGGCGTTAAGATCATGCGAGTTGTCTGGCCATATCAATACATCAACTAAGCCATAAAAGTTTTTACTGTGTGGCAAGTTGCACCATTTTGCATAAATATAAGATTTTTGACATTATTTTTAGTACTTTTGAATTTTTTAGTCATTTTTTGTCATTTTTGGCTGGACATCAATCCCTCTTCTTTTAGCCTTCTACAAATGGTCCGGCCTGACACAACAGTTACAGCTTCATGGATAAGATTAGGCAATAAGTTTAGTGGCTTTTTTTTCTGTTTTCCTGGCAGATATTTCTGATTATACTGTCCGCCATTGGTGTTTTCTTGCGTTTAGAAGGTGGTCTCCTTGGACCAAACTCTTCCCCTGTATCAATTCTTTTTCTTACTTGCATTACGGTTTGGTAAGAAACCTTTGCGGTTTGTGCAATTTTTCATTGAGAATAATTTGTATTTTGTAAAAGACATGTTTATCAATTTTTAATGTAACTATAATAATAGTAACAATGTATAATGCAGGTTGTTAATTAATGGTTTATAATCAAAATTTAATATGGCTGGAGGTAAAGGTAAAGAGAAGTTTAAAGGAACAAACATTAGGTATTTATTTGTAAGTTAAGTGTAAAATTATATATTTTTTAAAAATCACAGTTCGTTTTTTTAATGCTATTTTATTTTTAACTTTTTGATGTATTTGATGCAAATTACTCAGGCAATACCTTTTTTTATAGAGAGCGTCTTGTCAATTAAAGTGACTGCTTCAGTTGCCGAAATAAGAAAAGGAATAATGACTTTATTAAAATACGCACTCGACAGATTAAATGGTGGTGGTCGGCGCGTTAAAGGCGATTCACCCGATGTATAATATTCATACTTCTTCCTAGTTGTTCTGGAACCATTGATAATAGTTATTATTGATAAATTGATAAATATCTTACAGATAAATAAAACTTTTTTTTCTTCAAACTTTTTACTTTATTTGCATTGTATATAAAGTCCCTTGAAGCAATTTAGTTGTATCTGATTAATTTACGTGAAATATAATATTCTTCGCGCAAATCATTGCTTTATATCGCGCAAATTATTGCTGTGGTATTTTATTGCAATTAAAGTTGAGTTTTTTTAGTTAATTGGATTTAACTAAAATAAAAAACAAAAATTAACGTTGAATTTACGTTGTTTCAACGTTGTTCTAACGTCTTATCAACTAAGTATCTATTAAATATATCACTTATTCAAAGTTGAAATATAGTTGGTATGTAGTCGATAAGACGTTAGATCAACGTTGAAACAACGTAATCATTGACGTTGTTTCAACGTCGTAGTTTTCTACGTCGGGTTTTATTTCCAATTCAAGCAAATTTCAACGTTGTTTCAACGTGGCACATGGTCGGTTTGCGACGTTGTTTCAACGTTATTTCAACGTCATTGTGCCTGCTGGGTATATATATATATATATATATAATATATATATATATATATATATATATATATATATATATATATATATATATATATATATATATATATATATATATATATATATATATATATATATATATATATATATATAATATATATTAGTAATATATATATATATATATATATATATATATATATATATATATATATATATATATATATATATATATGTATATATATATATACATATATATATGTACATATATATAAATGTATATATTTCTAATATATATATATATATCTATATATCTATATATATATATATATATAATATATATATATATATATATATATATATATATATATATATATATATATATATATATATAATGTATATATATATATATATATGTATACGTATATTTATATACATATGGTTATATACATGCATACACACACGAATATACATATCCTTGGAGTCGCAGTCAGCGTCTTAGTAAACGTCTTAACACGTCAGCGTCTTAACACAAAAAAAGTCAAAAAAACTTTTTTTCAGTAAGAAAAACATACTTTCGTTCTGTAATTCTTATCTTCTGATCCAAGCATAAATCTTCTTTTCCCTTATCGGTTCATCAAAAAGATTAGTTTGTTAAAGCCAAAACTTAAATTCTTTTTGCCGTGCCAAGTCTACAATGGATCTCCTTCTTTCGTTTTTCTTAAGACTTAAATATTGGTTATACAAATATGAAAGAACTTTTACTAGACCTTTATCATTTAGTATAAATATCCAAGATTTCTATCTCAAAATACAGCCACATTTACATTCTATTAAATATCTTTCAAAGTGTTTTTGAGGGTAAAGTAATTTGTAGTAAGCTATATGCTTCATGATCTCCATTCCCGTTTGAGGCTGACAACCTTAAGTACAAAAAAAAAAAAAAAAAAAAAAAGGAAGAATTAACTACATTTTTTTACTAAACGGATTAATTATAAAACTAAGGATTACGTTTTATTGCTGGCTACATTTTTGTTTTTTTTAAATCTAAATATTCTTCGATTGCCTGTATTCTAACTGTCTTCTTTCTTTTTATACATTTTTAAATTAATCATATTAGTTGTTTTTTTTTAAAATTCTCTTTTAAAATAATTAATTGCAAAATAATTTACAATATAACAAATGAAACCGTTCAATAGCGTGCCGTTTATGTTTTTAAGATACAACTACTTAATTTGGCGCAATTCATTATGGAATTGATATTCGAAAAAACAATTTGATAAACATGAAGAGCAAAGCAAAGCCTGCCAACTCGACTGAAAATCCATATGTTTATGTGTAATTGTCCCTACATTGAATTATGGGTTGACTTGCGGGACCATATTATAAACAACATAAATTTACTATACATCTTTGTTTTCCAAATCAACCTTCTACCTTAAATTTAAAAAAAAAACAGCCTCCAAACAGACTTCATTTACAAGATACAATACAAAAAAAAGAAGTCAACGATAAAGTTGAATTAAAATAAATAAATAGTGTTAAGAATAGCAGCACAAATATTTTAATTGTCAAAACTATTTTTAAAGATAAATATTAATCATCTCAAGTTATGATTTGTTGACAAGAGCTATCAAATGTTTAGGATTTCCATTATTAAAACAACAAATTTTAGATCCAACTACAGAAGCAAAAGTTTATATAATATTTGATCCACCACATCTTATAAGAAATATTAGAAACAATTTAATAAAACATGACATTTTGTCTGATGCAAAAAAAAAATAGAGGAAGCGTTTAGAAGAACTTGATAATTTAGACTAGGTTAATGCTGAGCGTCTTTTGACAAAGTTGACAGATCGTCACTTAAATGCAGGATCACTATTTGCCGTTGAGTAAAATTGGAAAGACAAACTTTTAGTAGTCAAGTTGCTACTGCTTTGACTGAATACGCTTCTGCATAAATATTGCCAGAAAAAATTTTGCACCATCAAATTAAACTGATAAATCTTCAAGCAGTAATGGAAACCTTCCTTTAGAAATTTGTGCTAGAGTCTTCAAACTTTTGTCAAGAATTCATTACCAAGGTAAAAGTAAATAAAGATGTTATCAGAGAAGATAGGAAAGGCCTTCGAGAAAATTTGGATATATTAATCCAAATTTTAGTAGTGTTGTGACCAAAACTAAAAATTGTAACTAACTAAACTAAAAATACCGTAACTAAAATAAGTTAACTAACTTTTTAGTTAACTAAAATCAGTCGACTAACTTTTTAGTTAACTAAAATCAGTCGACTAACTTTTTAGTTAACTCAAATTACGCGACTAACTTTTTAGTTAACTTAAATTATTCGACTAACTTTTTAGTTGACTAAAATCAGTCGACTAATTTTTTAGTTAACTAAAATTACCCGACTAACTTTTTAGTTAAAAAAAATTACCCGACTAACTTTTTAGTTAACTAAAATTACCCGACTAACTTTTTAGCTAACTTAACTTTTTAGCACACTTGCCTCAGAAACGTAAGATCCGTGGTTCAAACCCCAACTCTGGACAAGTTTTGCGACATCGGTTGGGAAGGAGGCGTGAACTTCCTATTAAATGCTCTTCCGCGGTGCTCTGTGATAAGACCGTAAGGACTTATTGGGGTACCTAAAATCAACATCAAAAAAAAAAAAAAAAAAAAAAAAAAAGCAGCCGTGGCGCAGTGGTAAATTAGTCGACTAACTTTTTAGTTAACTAAAATCAGTCGACTAACTTTTTAGTTAACTAAAATTACCCGACTAACTTTTTAGTTAAAAAAAATTACC